TTCAAATATTACACTAAAAGCTACAACACGTAGCTAAGACTACCACCTACACAGACAACCTAAAATGTAAAAATCTACACAGACTGTGTTTTGTTTGGGAGTTAAAAAAAAAAAAAGAATACCACCGTAACCACACTCAGAGCTTTCAACTAGCTTTTTAAAAAGACAAAAGGTGCTGGGTATATAAATGTGAATTTCAAGTCACCTCAGAAGCCATAAGCTAGCAAACTATACTGACGGACTATGGTAAATGGGAATTCATGGCAAATCCAGCTAGTAAACAAGGGACAGGAGCAAAATCTTCACAGAAAAGCCTGTATATAATCTAGACATTATTAAAAAGCCCCAAAACTTTCAGAATGGTAATGCACACAGAATGCTGCTCTTGAGAAGCTCAAGGAAGCAGTTTTAGTCCTGGTCTTCAGGTGACAAAAATGTAAGGTCAGAACTAGGTCGTTTGCACAGGTTACCGAAGAGGGTATAGGAACAGTTCTCTTACAGCAGAATGGTAAAAATAGAGACTGCTGATTTATACACCATCAGCCTCAGTTAAAAACTGAGCTTTGATATGTTCAGATAGAGCGGAGGAAGACTTGAGTTTGTCTTTCATGGTGAAAAATATATTAATAGCAAATGAACAGGTAACATTTATTTCTGCTGCCAATAGGTAGGGCAAATCATTCCCTAGTAACAGTGACGTTTTTACAACTGTCAACTTAGGATTTAAGTGGAATCCAAATCCCAGATTTCTTTGTTGGATGCTTACATTTCTTCTGAGAAAAACAGAGTACATCAAAATCCAAGACAAGATGTAAACGTATCAATACTCATTGCTTCAAACTGGAAGAGGGTAGGTTTAGATTAGATATTAGGAAGAAATGCTTTACTGTGAGGGTGGTCAGACACTGGAACAAGTTTCCCAAGGAAGTTATGGATGCCCCCTCCCTGGAAGAGTTCAAGGCCAGGTTGGATGAGGCTTTGAGCAACCTGATCTAGTGGAAGGTGTCTCTGCTCATGGCAGGGGGGTTGGAACTAGGTGAGCTTTAAGGTCCCTTCCAACCCCAACCATTCTATGATTCTATGATTTTCAGTCAAATGTGAACCAACAACTGCAAAAAAGCCACATGGCAATTGCCTTATACTAAAGCAAGATGATGATAATACTGTGCAGAGCTTTGTTTAAAAGCATTAAAGTGGCAGCTGCAGAAATGATGCAAAAATATGCAAGAATGGGTTCTCAAAGCTCATCTAAGGATTAGATTAGGGAGGCAAAGAGTAAATAATTTATAATGAGGACTGACATTAGCTAAAGTATACCACATAAGGCAAAGTTACAAGCCAGGGAAAGTCCACATCAGTATCTCCAAAATCAATCAAAAAAAGAGAGTCCTAGATCAAAAGAAAAGGTTTGTTTTACCCTGGTGAACCTTTCCCACAAAAAAAAAAAAAAAAAAAATCCAATCTCTGTGTCCTTTTGGTCATTATTCATAGCCTTTGACATGGATCCACTGGAAAATACCACACTGAAGGATGACTTCTCTGTGCTGAGTTAATCCTTCCTAGAGATGGCATGGGCCCAGAAGTAACACCTAACAAATGGGCCACAATTTGACAGGCAGTGAGTTCAGCCTACTTTCAGCGATGTCCTGAACTTACATCTACCACTAGGTTGGGTAGAAAACACTGCTAAGTAATAACAGATTTAACAGAAAAGACTGCAGTCAGATGGGGGTCTGCATGCAGCGTTGTTAAGATGCAGCCTGGCACCAGTGAGGGATGGGCTGCCGTAAGCCGACATGCTGTTAGAAGAAAGCCAAAGACAGGAGCACCTACAGGTTAGAACCCGATAGAGAGGAACAGAGAAACTCTTCTCTTGGAGCAACATGATCTGTGTAGTGTAGCATTCACCTCACCTGGTTTTAGACCTCTGTAGTGGTTGTATGTCACCATTTTAAAAGCGTCTGGAAGCAGTGAAATTTAAAAGGTTTAAAATTGTACATGATTGTACATAAAATGCAGTATGACCAAAGCATTCTAGAATTGTGCCTTATTTTGCACGTAACCCGTAGAGCACAACCAATCCTGCTCTGTGCCACACTTCTCTCCCCATCCTCTCTTCCTCCCCACAAATGACCAACTGGCTCCTTTTCCAAGAAACTTAATATTTTGACCCTAAGTACTTTAATACAGCAATTAACAATGTTAGAAGATTCCCCTGACATGAATCACTGGTGAAGGATGCTGACTCACTGTTGCAGAAAAACACCATGAGAACACATCCCACCAAACATTCTCCCCTTGGGAAGACTCAATTTCTTATAAATAGTGCTAAGCAGCCAAAGTAGATAAAATTGTGGATGCAAAATGTAATTACTGAAGAAACAGTCTAAGGCCACCCTAAAACATTGCTGACATTCCTGAAAAAAAAATAGTCTGATGTTATAATTTATGTATTTGTCATTTCTCCAATTTTGTAATATTGGGTATAAAGAGGGTTAAAAAGCTCAAAACAAAAGTGCTTCACTTGACCCAAACCCATGTTTTTTTCTTCCTTTACCATGTTACTGGCAGCAACAGCGATTTGAGGAACTGTTGCTCTTCCTCCACAAATAACCATAGCTCACAGGGGGGGCTGCCTGACTTTCTGCTGGTATAAACATGGACAAACCAGATCCTTGTGCAGTCTGTATTCATTCTAATCGCAGAGCGTTGCACACAGACTTACAACAAGTTATTCCAGTAAAGTGATTAGAATTACTATGGTCCATGCTACAAAGGGCTTAGATTCAGGGATACAGGTCCCTCGGACTGTGAAAATTCATATCCTCTATCAAGAGCCTATCATCCCTCATACAGCTGTTTTGAGCACAATGGTATTAGCAGTGTGGCCATTTAATACACCATTTTGCCATATCTTCTTGAAATTAAAACACTCATATTTTATGATGGCCATCATTTACCTATTCATTCTATTAATTTTGCAGGAAACAATTTTATATATGTTATTAGGATACAACTTTTATACAGATGCACTCAGTTGTGTCTGCCAGCTTCAGTTCCAACTGCATAGTTGCTGCATAAGTTATTGAGAGATACCTCATCTGAAGACCAACATGACTTTTCTGCCAAACTGCATTATATTTTTATGCTTATCTTGCCCTTTATGTCTACCTTTGACAATATGCAGTTGCTGTTTCTGTGCTGTCTCCCAGTTTATATTACGTTCCACGTGCAATGCATAGGCATCGATTCAATAAAGTTACTGAAACAGGAAGCCTCTCCCTAATAAAATATTTAAAATGCATCTATAAGAACAGTAGCTAGTTACCAAACGAGGTGGATACAGCTCTACATAAGCTTGTCTTACTGCCTTGTTTTCTTATAGCTAATAATAGCATTACCAAAATGTCTAAGCATCTCCTTTGGAAAAGAACAATGTAAATAAAATTCCCAGTAAAGGTGAAGGACCCAAATTTGCATCTGTACACAAAGACTGTATTTATCTGTACAGCTTTTGTTGTTAATGTTATTACTTGTTTAATGACTGATATTTTCAAAGCATTCTCTGCTTGAAGGGTAGTTTTTGTCAGGAACATTTAGATTTGGGGTTGAAGATTACTGTTCTATTCTTATAGTGAAATTAACTCAATTTCTTCAAAGAAGGCTATTGAAGTGTTTCTTATATATATATGGTGAAAGTACAGATTGACAGCACAATGATCCTCTTCACTATTCTTATGATCAGCAGCTGTTAAACTATTTTTATCAACAACTTCATTGCTCCAAGAAATGCTTTTGCAAAATTTGAATGCTGCTGGTGAGATCATTCCACAGGAGCAGACTTCTCCTTATGAATTTTTATAAGAAGGTTCCAAAAATCTCACTTCAGGAAGTAACCAACTGCCAAGCCATCCTCCTCCAACACAAAAGGCCTCCTCTTCTTTCCACTCATGCCCCAGGTAAGCACAACCCACTCAGGTCATAGAAGGGCATCTCCCAAATACTTTTATGTCATCCCTCTGAGAGCCTCAGCACCCTCCCTAAGCCTTTGGTGGGGTTCACAATATTCTGGGATGCCAGTGCTGCACACAGAGGCTACAGTAAGCGCTCAGAACTGGCTTTCCCATGTCAGATGCAATCTCAGGTATCTTTGCTTTTGGATTCAGATAAAAAGAATGTTAACAGCATTTTCTCACTGCAGCATATACAAAGACCAATACCACAACGCCAAGGAGGAAAGGATGGAGTTTCCAAAGCAGAAGATGGTAAATGGAGCATTATTGCCCTCTTTGTCTCTAGAAGAACAAGCAAGGAAGACCCTGTCCCTGCCTTGCTACTCTGACTACTTTCATCCTTTAGATATTCATGATCAAGACCTGCTATACATCACGTAAGTCCTTATGTTGTATGAACTGCAGGCACAGTGCCAAATTATCCCCTAAGAAATACTAAGGAAGGAGCAAAAATACAGTGAAATTCTATTCCTTCCAGTGTAAGAAGAAGGGGGCTGCTTTGGGCACTTCCAGGCTGAGCACTGGAAGCCATGACAGGGCATGGGAAATCTCATTCCTTGACCTATGAAAGGAATATAGGTTGTCCTGTCAGATGGCATCAATGATTTCATTCTCTGTAGGATCTGCCATATGCTTTCACTTCTTGTCTGATTCAACTTTGCTCTATGATCCCAACAAAGAACTTCAGAATCAAGTAGGTTCTCAATAGATAAATTACTGTGGAATAATACACATTTCTCACAGATGTATGTTTTATAAGTATGGTATTCATACTATGGATGTGAAGGGCAACAAACCAAAACATTAAATTCACCCAACTATTTTACAGTTCTTATACTGTGTATTCAGCTAGTCATTGCTTCTGTATAGAGCATCAAGAACAAACAGTACACGTATATGCACTTGATCCTCATGTAATGTACATATTTACCATTTTCTTTTTTTTTAATCTAATATGTCTACTGGGTCCATCTTTGATTCACCTACCAATAAAACCTGAAGAAGGAGGGTTGGGCTGTATCTTCTCTTTAGTGTTCTCCTGAATGATGTCCCACAGCTGCCATATAAACTTTGGATGGAGAATGTAAAATGGCTGGTTTGGATTCTTCCTGCGGTGCTGTACATAGGGAGTGAACAGATTGTAGTCTGGCTTCTTATACCACTGGGAACAAAAGACAAGAAAAGGATTTTTTTTTTTTAATCTTACGGTATCCAATGTGTTTTGTACACTACATGCAAAATATGGTGAACTAGTTTCGCTCAGGTTCTTCAGAACGGAAGCAAAGGTAGCAAAGCAGCCTGCACTGGTGGACGCTTCTCTTAGAAAGTCAGTCCTCACTCCAGGCTGTTCTGCTTCCTTTCTTCATACAGAGACTCCCCATAAGCAATTCACTGCAGTGGCATGGGCCAACCCCACCTCCCACTCACAGGCCCACATTAAACAAGGGGTTTCAAAGAGCCCTGATACAAGATCCAGGCGTGGGGGTGAACCTTCCTCTGAAGGTGTCTGCATCCCTGATGGAGGCAGCAGCAGCACGTGAAGCAGCCTGACGGCAGCCCACGTAGGAGGCAGGCAGCCTCTGGCATCTGCTGCTAAGGGAGTTTGGCACATGAAGGTTTACTTTCTACTTTGCCGCCTGCTCAGCTCCAAGCTCCTCGTGCCAAGAACCATCAGATCAACTGGTCCACTGGAGCTGCAACACCAGCCAAAGCAGAGACTCCCCCAGTGACAACCAGATGGGATGTCTGCTGCTCTCAGTGAGGGGGAGGACAGCGAGGCACAGATGGCTGTGGGGGAGTGGACACAAAGGGGAGACTGGTGGGGAGGAAGCCTGAGAAATGGGGAAGGCGCCAAGAGAGATTTTCATTAGGGTGTTGTATTTTGTCTGGGAAGGCAGAGGGGAAGGTGGGGAAAAAATGGATGCAATTCTTCACCTCTCCTGATAAAATCCCCTTCTGAAATCTATCAATGTTCCCTCCTTGGCAAACACAAAGAAAACTCACTGTTACGTGAGAACAGTAATAATAAAAAAAACCCCATCATCCATCTAACCTAGCATCTCAGAACAGTCCATTCCAATACAAGTGCTGGCTACTAAAAAGCTTTTAACCAAGAAACCAATTTCGACCAATTCATGTAGAAATAGCATTCCCCATCTCTTAGACAGAGACAGACTTTGGGGTTCATTGTGACAAGAACCAGGAGACTGCAGTACTAAATATATTCATTTTCTTCAGTGCTTTCAGACTGATTGGGAAGAAAGGTCCAAGCAGACATCTTACCACATTCAGATTTGCAGAGTAGGGGGCAGGATCCCAGGCTACTAAGATAACATCTTTGTACAAGGAGCTGTCAATAAAGTGATGATTTGGGTTGGTGAGAATCTGCAAACACAGATACCAAGAATTGCACAGCATTAAAAGCAAGTGGGATCCAGAAAAATAACAAAATCCTTCTCTAAAATGAACAGTCCTCCCCACGCTGCTGTTTGTTCTGCTTTAATTCTCATCGATTTTAAGCATCTTGTTTTGTTAAAAAAATATATATATAAAAAGGAGCTTAGCCATAAACAGCACTCATGACAGTTCGAAGTAGCAGTATGCTGAATTACTCCATCTGTGGGGGACGTGATGGGACCACTTGAGATGCTGCATAGTTGTATATCAACACTGCTGTGTATTCTGGAAATTGAAAATGAAAGCTGTGGTATTTCAGACTGCCCACAGGATCCCACTCTTGGACACAAAACAGGCCTTCTTTGAAAGGCTACAGCCCCCAAGGATAATGTCTCGCCTTTTTTTTTTTCCTTTTCTTCTGCCCCCCTCACCAACATTTGGTTGCTTTCTCATTTCAACAGCAAGACAGACTCATTTCAAGTAACTCTAAAAAGGCAAATCAGACCACGACTGTAAAAGCTGGTGTACCTAGAAAAATAATTCTGGGAACAGGAACATGATAGGGCCATTTTTAAAGTAACTTTCATATTGCTTTGATCTACTGCTCTCATATAACTCCCTCCCACATCTCCTGGTGCTCTGCCTGATCCTCTCACCTCACTGGAACTTTCCTTTTCACTCCTGCTGGGTCATCACTTCACAGACCCTCCATGCCTAACCAGATCTCTCTGATCTCTGGTGCATCCAATCTCAGGCAGGATTGCACTGAATGGTTTCAGTATTGGTTGAAACAGTGAGAATTTGGCTCCAGCTGTTAAACTAATCAACATTCCAGACAAATAAATTCATACTAATTTTCATTTCCCTTTAGGATCAAATGAGCCATATTTGATTATGCATATTTTTCTTCAGAAAAATAATATTGTTGCCATAGCAATATTCTTCCTACCATAAACTTCTGCAGCCTTCCATCAGCCTTCTACAAGAACAGAATTAGTCGTGCTACCATCTACATTCCCAATTCCACTTGTCAGAACAGTTTTCGCCTGAGAAAGTAAACTCCTTTTTTGAGAGTACAGAGTAAACAGACAAAAAGGTCAAGCTTTTTAAAAGCTTTGTTCCACAGTTATCATACAAAGGAGCTCTTACTTGCCTTTCAGTAAGTAAGAGTCCTCTGGAGGTGCTGTCCACACAAATTTCACTCTTAGTGAGCCTGCATTCATATGTAAGAGAAGAGTTTCTTCCAGAATAACAATATCTGTTGTGGCTGCACTGGCTTCTTTCACGTCCTTTGGACTTCCACAGCAAAGCACATGAGGGAAGAAAAGGGCCACAGCCCTCTTTTAATCAGCTGAATGCAAGAATTTCCAACAGCAAGGAGGGAAGGAGGGTCAGTATGGGTAACCTATCTTCACTACTGGTAGGAAAAGCAACTTTTATCATGTGGGCTGTGCGGATTCCAGGTAGGGGAAGGCCAGTTTCTCAGCAGGTGGCCAGAGCATCACAGGTGGCTTCTGACCTCTTTGAAGGAGCAGAAAGGTGGTGAGAATACAAAAGTTTGTGAGGAAGCTGTATAAGCTGACCTGACCTGAATTTTAGCCATGCCCTACATTTTCTTGTGGAGAGGTCTTGTGGAGAGCAAGCAATGTACAGTGAAGACCATGGGACCCTCCATTACCAGTCCGGTGAGGCCAAAGAGGACCCCAGCCTGCTGTGAGCAGCAGAAAGCAGCTAATTTACCCATTTAGTCTCTCTGAAGTTTAATCTCTCTGAATTCGCTGAGGAGCTAATGAAGCTCAGGTCACTCCCTGGAGGCATTTCTCTCTTCTCCTACAGGAAGCCTACAGAGACTAGTCCACTAAATAAATTTTCTAAACCCTCTTTCCCGCCTGGCACAGGAGTTCAGGCATGGTCAGCACCAGAATGTTTTGGCTAACAGTAAAATGAAGAACAGTCAAAGAAAGGGGAAAAAAAAAAAAAACAAGAAAAAACCCCCAAAAGTAAAATAAATTACATCAAGACCAATGTTCTCTGATACACTGATTTCAGCACTAAAGCCAGAATAAGATATTTCTGGTTTCTTCCCTTGGGCAAGAGAGAGGGAGCATATTTGACCCAGATCATTTAAAAGATCTAGTCTGTCCTGCAGGCTCACAAAGAGCTACAAAAAAAGTGCAAAGGAAATGACAGTGAAGAGTCCTCTCTGTGGTGGCAAACAACATGAACTTATACACACAGAGAGGACGCCCACCAAGGATGGACTTTGCATGGGCAGTCACTCAAAGAAGAAGAAGAAGAAGAAATTAATTCATAAGAATAACAGGAAATGAAAATTTTGCTCTCATTCAGCAAGAATTAGTATGTATAGAGCATGCTACTTGGCCAACCATACAACTCGTATTGACCAAGTTAACTCACCATTTCAATATGTCATAAAATTTCACAGTAACTCTCTTGTTGCTTTTTGGCTGTATTTCATAAAGAGGAAAGAAGCTTGGTTTGCCCAAGACCAGAGTTCAGGCAATAGTTTTTTCAAAATTGAAAAATTACTCTCAACCATAAGGTGTCACTGTAGCTCAACGCACAATTATTTGTTGACGGTCATATACAGAAAGTCCCATTTTCTGTTTCCATTCAGATGAACAAACTCAGCTTACACTAATATCCAGCGTACACTGAAGTTTTTTACTAGTTCATTCCAAATTCTTAAAGCATGATGACTTGCCTAAAGTTATGTACTAAGACAACTCTGTTCCCATTTCTTTTGCCTTCCAGTGAGGAAATAAATGGGGAGCTGGAAAATGTGAAAAAAGAGCTTTGGGATCCCCACAGCCCAGGCTTTAGGAAGATCCCATAGGCAGTGCAGTGAAGGTCTTCTGTACTGATGGCTCTGGCATCCTGCGGAGCCTTTACAGATGTAGGACACATGAGAAACTTACAAACCAATTATTGGAAACAAAGATATCAAGTAACTACTGCAATCACTCTACACTGACAGCAGTGTGAACATTCCTGTAAGGGAGAACTTTTACCTGCTCAACATCATGACTGTTAAATCACTAGCTGTTTCCAAGATTACCCAACACTTTCTCAGAAGTTATTAATTTAATGTCATATTGTACAGAAGTGACATTGACTTGAATCCACTAAAGGAAGATCTTACCTGAGAGTTAATGATTCGCATGGTTGTTTTATTTCCAACATCTTTTTCATAGCCACGTGTTGGAGCAGAATTAAATCTTAGAACGGCATCATGAGAATCTAGGAGCATAAATGAGGGGATAATTTTTATTTGTCTTAGTAATATAGAAGAGTGAAATAAAACAAATTAGCTAAACTAATGTAAAACTTACACATTTCTCCTAATCTTGATATTCTAAGGATGATAAGCATTCTAACAGGCATAAACAAAAATCTTCTTGCATCTGCCATGTTATTAACATTATTAAAACCCACCAGAAAAAAAAAATCAGAATAATCTATTCATTTAGCTTGCAATACTTAAATATTTCTCTTAATTCAATAAACTTACTGTGAGAAGGTTTTTACTACTTCCCATACACACAATAGCTCGCTATTCCTATTGCAAAATTTACAAAGAATGACTCAATGCAAAAGCATGTTGATTGCAAGGATATCTAATTGCAGAGTTGAACGAGTAACAACTTAACTATAAGCCTGTGCTTCACAGTATTTTATAATACCTGAAAATCTCAGACTAACACAAACCTATTAATAATACCATGCACTTATTCTCAAGGTCAGTACAAGTCTTAGAGTCTATGTGGGGAAGTCAGCTCACAAACCTGCTCACACACAGAAACTCGAGTATCCCTTGGTAGCAAAGATCTAACAGAGATCAACGTTTCCCCACGAGCTGCTGACCTCGGAGTCATGCAGAATAGAAAGCAGCTATAGGTCAAGCATGGGTCAAGGGTAGACACTATGTGCAAGTCTCTGCTTGATAAAACATAATCACCCACCCAGTGCTTCTTTTAAGGGTATCTCAGAGCCCAAAAGGTGTGAGGGAGAGTACGACATTATATCCATTGTCCAGAAACACACTGTCCCTGTCAATAGCCCCATGGTCTACTTTTGTCTCTTCTATCAATGGAAGCAGAGAATAAGATTCCGGCCAAAATGGGCATGCAATGCCTTAACCCACAGTAGTTTCTACAGCTGTTTATCTCTAGTCACTTAAAACATGCCTGTCTGTAGCTCAAAAATAGAGGAGGCAGAAGTTTCCAGACATAACCAACATGCTTCAATGGAGTTCATAGAATCATAGAATGGTTTGGA